TTAAAACCCGTTAATAAGGTGTGAGCTTAACGTATAGAATTCTTTAACTATTTGGACTTGATCTCCACAATCGTGCCTGCTATACCGTTTGAAGTGAATTGTTAAACATACTCTCGCCAGCTATTTATTTAATATTGAAGTAATTATGACTCTTTGTTGATAAAATCAAACGCTGAAATGATCTCAAGTATTCATTTTTTGTCAGACATCGTCTGGAAGCCTTGGGAAAGGACATATCAACCATAAATGGTATCTACATAGCATAATTCCGGTTTTATTTTAAGGTTATTGGTACTTCCTGTCATTGTAGATGTTATGATGTCATTATTTTTCGGGATCTTGAGAAAACCGTTGATCAATACATTTTTTAACTTTCCTCTGCGAGCATCCACAGATTCTTGGTTTTGTTTGGTTATTTGAATCAAGGCAGCGAAATTTCCATATTTCTGTTGTCACAGTTCGTATGAAGACAGTTATTGTTGTTGTTGCTGCTGCTTTTGTCATTGTTAGTCTATTATTGTTTTAAGTGTTTGCATTTGTGGCTCTGGTAAGCTAAGTTAAGTTTAATTTATTTTACAAACATGCTCGAAAGATCAAATGCTGTGTTACAGTGTAACACTGTGTAGCACACGAAAAACATTAAGTGAAGAATTCCAGTTCAAAAAATAAATCATCATCATAGGCGTGTGTTTTGCGTTGAGTCTTTTTATTTAAGTCATATTTGATGTTTTTAGTTTTTGCCGCCAAATTATATTAAGCGGGGCTATCTCTATTTTTCCTTAGTTCCTGTTGAAGCTGTTACTACTATTCCTAAAGTGGTTTGTATAATTGTTTCATTAATAAATAGAAATCTCTTTTATTAGAATGTTCCTAACACTAGGCACCCATTAACTTTGACCAGATCGTTGCATTGTTTTGTATTTTTTTCTGAAAGATCTTCTCAAATGCTGAAACAGTTGCCTTGTTTACTGTCCAGTTTATTTGCAATGAATCGAACACCAGACGATCTGTGTTATGGAGTTCTAATATAACTCGTACTCGACAATATTGCTTATTTAAAGCCAAATAATTTACAATTCACTATGAAAGTCATATAAAAAGTTTGCAATTTTTTACGGGCACAAGAAGGGCAGAAAAAACGTTTTTAGCCAGTTACATTCATCCATAACCATTTTGAACAGAACAAAAGTCTTATTGAATTTTCTCAGATTTTGGCTTTGATTGGTCAATACAATGTGAATACGGGCCATTCTGAACTTGTGATGTTAAAAAATGTGTTCTTATCTCTCAGCAAATTACAGCTCCTTCGTCTACGCCATTGATAGACGCAGTGACCCCTTCACCAGGGACTCCAAATGCGGTAGGTGTGCTTACTGGAGAGTAACGATAGCAAAATAGATTACGGTCAGTCGAGTTCGCTAGTGTTACTCAGGTAGCTGTTTTAATAGAAACCCCGGCGTCCTGTCCTGATCGTTGTAAGGTGATTAAAGAAAGGCACAAATTTTCTCCAAAAGTTTCTCTTTCGCCATAAATCGGTCCAATCGACTATTCTTAGCCTCTAACGAGCAAAATTTGGCTCGATGAAGGAATTCAGACATTTTTGGTTAAGAGACCAAAGACTGAGCGCAGTTGTCCAAAGCAAAGAGTACACTGATCCAGAGTCAAAAGAAAGAATACTGATAAGCGTAAGCCCTGTAGACTTATATGGTCCTAAAGTGAACTTCTTTTTGTTTTGTTTTGCAAACAGAGAAAAAGAAGAACAGCAGCCTCGTTTTTGGACCAAAATCCGCTGAAGAAAACCAAGAGACTTTAANGAGTGTTGTTTTAATTTTTCAACGAGTAAGCCACTCTAGCTCCGATGCAAAACTTATAACAAATCAGAAAATCTAAAAAAAAAAACTGACCAATGTTCAGCTCTTGATAAAGGTGGCTATTAAGGGTGTGAAAAGTCATGGCACACTGCCACAGATAGAGATGTAGACTGCTAAACGTCTTGGCCTACCAAAGATGCACAAAACCCGGCTTCTTTAGGTTTCTCGTCTTTTGGCCACTTCCACAATTTGTATTCTGTAATTTTGTCACAAACTACTTTGTGTATTGTCATGTATTTTAAACAATTATTGGATGAGGTTTTTGTGATATCCAGAAGACACCTTATTCCAAAATGGCCGTCATTTTAGTATTTTTTTGTTTACTTGAAAATGAGCCCTTGTTGCCTCGTTTAAGGGAAAATATTCTTTTGAATGTCGAGTTTAAGAACGAGGTAAAAAGGGCTAATTTGCAAGTAAACAAAAGAATACTTAAATGGCGGCCATTTTGGAATAACGTGTGTAATCAAGGTCGAGGTAGGGGTTATCAGCCGAAGCGGAAGGCTGAGGCTGATAACCCTTACCGAGACCTTGATTGTATAATAATCATTATTTGCC